TACCTAATTCATAAGGTTCTGATATAATATATATGTTTTGTATATGATTTTACATACATATAACATTGTGTCTAGCAATAAGTAACTATTATTAACAGTCCCATTATTTTTCTTCATGAAAGTTATGAAAAATAACACAAATACAATAACATGTATATTATTTTACTACTTCTACTTATTTTTACTATTAATTTTATTGTTATTTGTTGTTACGGTTATTGACAGAAATCTCGAATGATTCACTGATAGCTAGTACAGAATGACCTATTCAGACTGTGACAGGTTTCACCCAGACCTAACAGCCTCACAGATGTGCATTCTTGCTTTGGACTGAGCTGGGGTAGGAAAAGATGAACAGAGTTAACAGCATTGCCTTTGATTCTGCAGCCTTAAAGAAATGTGAAGCCCTGCTTCTACCAAAGAAGGCTTTAAAGTGCTTCCCAGTACATCCAGAGCCTCTTAGAACATCACTTATCCAGCCCAAGGATCCAAAAAGATGAACCATAAATTTCAGTTAAGCAGTGGTTCTCAGACTTCAGCATCCATCAGAATAATTTGGAGGACTTGTTTAAACAGACTATTGTGCTCCATCCCCAGAGTTTGAGTTCAGTATACCTGGGGTAGAACCCCAGTTTTCATTGCTAGTAAGTTTCCACCTGATACTGATGATAGTGGTTCAGAGACCACACTCTGAGAACCACTGAGTTCATAGATATGATTGAGGTATGATCAACCTGACTCCAGAGTGGGAATGTTTGCAGAAATCTTTTCACTGAGGTGATTGCCTGATAACTCCCATGAAAATGAGGGCTTCCTGTTTTCAGCCCCAATGTTTTTAACACTGAATTGTCCTTTTCTAACTTTATAAAGTTATTGGTAGGGGAAATGATTTGATGAAATTGTTTCTAAGCTCTTATGAGCCTGATAAAATCTGTAGACACTTTCTCCAGAAAACCCCATGTACACATAAGCAGAAGCATTGCTTATAATTTCAGGAAGTTCTCAGACACCTCCCCCAGCAGCTCACTGACCAACTCTTAGAAGGATCAGTAGAAAAACTGTCCTGTAAGGCAAAGTATTGGATTCACTTGTGTAACAAAAGTTCCCTTCTTATACTAAACTTTCAGTTAACTCATTTGTAAAATAGGAATAAAAGTAACAGCTATTACATCGAAGATTGTAAAGATTAACTGATAAAATACACTAAAGAGCCTAATTTGAAAACCAAAAAAGCTAAATACTACCTTTTGCTCTCTCTTTGTAGTCCCGCTACAACAATCCTCATTCCTGAGGCAAGTGGATAGCTCTCCCTACTAGGGAAAAGATCAGGAAGTGTAAAAATAAGAGCCCAAAGAGTAATAGTTCAAGATCTTCCTCTGTGCCCATTGCCTTCTCTTGCTAAAACCTGGTCACAGGCTGCAATCACGGTTCCCTCTGTGAGTCACTGAACAGTGGGGTCTAGCAAGCCCAGACCTGGCTTTGTGACCTGAGAGTCTCAGGCCATTTGCCTGGAAACACTCCACTTTGCAAATGTCCAGTGCCTTGTCATGTCCCCATGTTAATGCCTCCTGGCAGGAAGACAGAAATATAACATTCTAATAGGGGTTCATTTCCAAGGTAGGAGACACTGAGTCTTAAAAAAACAGTGATTGAGGGTAAAGTCTGATTCTCATCGTTTCTATAAAAATAAATAGACAAGCACATTGATAGGCTAATCAGCAGGCATCTGTTTAGCACTTGCTGTGCACACTGCACAGTAGGTGACACAAAGAGGAGTGACAGGTGTCCTCTGCGGGGCCAGCTCACACCCCAGCAGGGAAGATAGAGACACACAGACATGAACTGAACACAAAATGAACCATAACATGGTCAGTGACTGCGGTTCAGACGGTGCTGCAAGAGGGCAGAAGAGGAAGAAATCATGTTTAATGGAGATGCACAGACGTCTCTTGGGCAAGTTGGGATTTAAGCTGGACCCCAGAGAGCAGGACTGCTTTAAGTGAGTATGAATGATGGAGAATGGTGTCTGGGCTGGAGAGCAGTTTGAAGAAAAGTGTAAAGTTAGAAGAGTGTTTGGTGCAAATTTGCATGATTGTAGTTTAAGCAGTGTGATTATAGTGTGGGTTGGAGGTAGAGGTGTAGAAGTTGAGGCTAGAAAGGTAAGTTGGAAGCATATTGTGGGAAAGAACCTGAGGGCCCATGGGGAGCTTTGGCTTTACTGTCCATGCAGTGAGGAAGGGTTGAGGGCCTTTGAGTAGGGAGACACCAGAAGCAGATCTGTTTTTATTAAAAAGAGAACACTGGTGCTGCTGTGAAGAACAGATGATAGAGGCAAGAAGAAAGCAAGACCCGGTGAAAGTAATGGGAACCTGAACTAAAGCCAGAGAAGTGGGAGGGGACGAAGGGCTGGGGCATTTGAGGGGCTGCTTTCATCTGAGGGTGGTTGACGACATGCAGCAAAGAAAGCAGAGAAGAGCCGACGGGGCTCTCTCCTTGGCCCACCCAGTCCCAGGCTGGGTTCCTGCAGAGAGCAGACCCTGGGCTCCGAGGAAGAGACTGGAGAGGAGCTCAGAGTTCTGGGTGGTGACTGATACCTCCTGGCCATCCTCAAAAGGCTTTTCTCCTCCCTAGAATGCCCAGAGGGCTGGCAACTGACCATCTGCATAGAATATCAACGTAAGTGATTTCAGACCTGGGCCCTCAGCCTGGCAACATCAGAAGTCCTGACAATCTTTTAAAACAATGCTCAGGCGCTTTCCCAGGGAATTCTGATCTGGGAACCTAAGATGGGTCTGAGGTGGGGCCAGGCATCCATATTTTGTAAAGCTCCCAGGTGACTCTGATGCACAGCTGGTTTGGGGAACTACTGTGGGACCTTACTGTTGAGCCAGGCAATGTGTAGAAAACATGGGTGCAGTGAATGCTTGTGCTGGTGAACACTGTGATGGCTTGAAGACCTTAGGATTGGTCTCCAGCAGTGTCCCAAACATAATGACCTTCATCAAGTGTCAGCCACCTCTCCCTCCCCAGTTCAACAGGAGAAGCTGTTTGCTTGACACAGTCTCCTGAACTTCTCAAAAGGACAATGTGCAGGCACGTCATCATTTTCACCCTTGTCCTTGGCTGGGTCACAGGAACACCACGAGAGGGTCTCATTACAAGGTGCTTTGAGGCTTTAGAAAACAGGCTACATAAGAATATTATTCATTTTCTGCCCAGGCTTGTACAACACTCATAGCACTTTTACTGCTATTATTGTTTTTATTTCTCAGGAAAATCATACAGTACAAAGATAAGGTGGGTGTTAGAAACTTCTACTCCCTGGGCTCTGAGTGATATAGTGACTCGTGCCGGGTCCGACAACCAGAGCTGGTCCTGAATCCACCATCCTTTCGGTCTCCAGTTCTGCTTCTGTGCCAGAGTGGAGAAGGCTAACATAAAGGCATTTTTCTCTCCTTGTAAAAGAGAAAAAAATAGGGGGAGGGGAAATTATTTAAACACACCTCACTCATACTGCAATCACTGCATTGTTTTTCCTGTTGAAACACCCTGTTGGTTTTTAAATCCCTTTAAACCTCCCCAGCACCTGTATGGCCCAGATCCAAGAATTATTACCGAACCCCTCACTTTTTATATTTAGCCATATAGGAGTTTCTGTGATGGTATCTGTGCCCGAGAAAGGCTCTTGGTTCAGTTGAAAATTTCAGAGCTTCCAGAATTTTTCTTCTTCCATCAAAGCGAGAAGCATGCAATGCTCAGATCTGACTGTTTTTAAATCAAGCAGGGAACGGTTCTCCTCTCAGTTCTCTTGCTGGATAAAATAGCATCGCGGCACTACTCTGTGTTGTTGCTCTGTGGCGATCCTTCTGAAGTACTGACCAAAAGAGAGGGCAGGGGAAGGATGAGGGGTCTCTGTCAGCAACTTGCGGTTTCTCAGATGACCTCTCTTCAAGGCAAGAAACTGAGGCTGAAAACAAAATGAGAACTTTCCAGCAAATTCATTATAACAAAGCACAGTGTGAACTTACTGGGCACAAAAATCAGCTGAAGGAAAGTGACTCCCACATAAGCCCTAATTAAATACTTTGATGTCAGAAAGCAGAGCAGGGAGGGCTGGAAAATCAAATCAGACCAAAGTAAAGGACTTAAATTCAAAAGGAAAGAAGAAATATTTCTCTCTCTCCCCCTCTCTTTTTCTCCCTCCCACTGTCTCTCTGTGTCTGTGTCTGTGTCTGTGTCTGTGTCTGTGTCTGTGTCTGTGTGTCTCTCTCTTTCTGTCTCTCTGTCTCTCTCTCTCTCCTTTTCTTCCTTTGCCATGAAAGGAAGAATAAGATTCAGGAACAATGGGTTGTAAATTCTTTAGCCAATTAGTCCAGTGACTTACTACTGTTTATAATGCACAGAATGTCACAGGCTGTTTTGCAGCCTCCCCAAGTTGGTTTGTTAATAACAGGAAGCTAGCACTTCTCAGTACAGTGGATCAGCTACACGTGAAAATAAATGCAAAAAACCTGGAGGGGAATAGCAGCAGACCGAGAGTAGCCTTGATTTAATTTAACATTTGGGGGTCCACACACAAATGAGCATTTTAGTAGGCTTCATGGTGGAAGTTGCTGTCATTTGTAAAATATTCTGGCCAATTAGCTAATAGTGTGCTTGGATTTCTCCTGTTTTGATACAGTAATACTAAGTACATTGTGAAGCCCAATTATACAAATCATCCCCATATGCCATACCAGTCTTTCTTTATGAACTGTGTTTATAAATCCTGTGTGAGGAAATGTGTACTTCAGCAATTTAGACCATGTGTAAAAACATAGCCAATGGGATTGTCAAGAAAACAAGTTCCAGCCTAGGAAATCCTAATGTGTTCCGCTGGAATAACAGGAGGGTGCCGGGGAGTGCAATGCTCTGCTTAAATACATATTACTTTATAGTGTTTAACAGACTTAGGGGCTTCCGCTTCCCTTTCTGTTACTTTACTCTTCTTTTCTTTTTAGGATCCAACCTTGGAGTTTTTGAGAAAATTTGGGATTGGTCTTCTCTCGGGCACAATAGCCTCAGTCATTAACATCCCTTTTGATGTTGCCAAAAGTAGGATTCAAGGGCCTCAGCCAGTTCCTGGAGAGATCAAGTACAGAACCTGTTTTAAAACAATGGCAACAGTCTATCAGGAAGAAGGGTAACACTGACTTCAATACGTGTGCAAGACTAAAACCTTGTTAAAACTGTATTGTACTTCCATTCTGATGAGCGCCCTTAAGCCGTCCAGCATGGGGGCAAGGGGAGGGCGGTGTCTGAGAAGACTGAATGGGTAGGTGACACACTTGGTGAGATAACATAAGACTGAGATGTTGGCAAAACGTTCTTACACCAGCAAGAAACGTGAGCCACCGTCACACAACATGCTGGGGGTCAGTCTCAGGGTGCGGAGATGAACTTTTTGCTTGTCAGTTTGCATAATGTGCTGTTGCATATAAAATGGCCTGTTCAAATGTGGGCAGAATGATTGTCTTCTGACTGTAAATCTAATCAAGATGTCACCTAATTATATTCTCCTGGGAGAATTAAACATGAGAGTTCTATGAAAGTTTTCTCTTAAAATTTTCAAGTATATGCTTGTTTCTGCAGGGTTGTTTTTTTTTTTAAAATCTAACTTTGGTCCCTTCATCCCTCCTCACCAGGTCTTGTCCTCTAGTGAGCAAGTAATATTTTATTTTTTGGATCTAAATGGCATGATATTTCCTTATGTGAAGACTGAGTTTGTGGTCTTTTAAACTCAGTTACAAGAGTCATTTTGTCCCTATACACAGCTGTCTTGAAAGTAAGGCCTGTCTTGAAAGCAAAATCCATCTTGCTGATGAAAGTCATATTTCCAATTTGACGAAATCAGCAGAGCTTAAGTAATAAATAATTTTTTTTATCATCCAATTTGCTGCAGAGAATACTTAGCCAGATACTGTTTGGGGATTTGAAAAAAAATTATGAAGTTTTTTGGGGTTTGGTTTTGTTTTGGTAAATGCTGGGTCAGCATCTCAGTAAAGCTGAGTTACAACTCCATTTTATTTTCAGAATAAGAATGTTGCTCTTTCCCTTCCGGTTATAGGATTTTAGCCTTGTATAAAGGCCTGCTTCCCAAGATTATGAGGCTTGGACCAGGTAATGATGTTGTCATTACTTATATCCTTCCTTCTTTATTGTTCTAGTAGCTCTTTTTTTCCTTATTTGTGTCTATCAGTCCCACAATAAAAGTTTATCACACTGTGAAACATGGAAACCTTGAGGATACAAAGTTGTCTATGAGTATTCAAGACGCTAAAGGCTTCCATTAGAAATGTTCTATCTTTGTTTATAAGCTACTATTTCTGGCCTTGCTGGAGGCTGATAGAAACCAAAGCCCAGCTTAAGTCAATAGGAAAGGATCCACAGCCAGTTGGAGTTGGAGTCGCTTCTGGGGAGGACTGTCACTGAGTGAGGGATCAGCCCAGTAAAACGCTTCCTGGTCCATTCTTGCTCCTGCCTCAACTTTACAGCAAAAAGAGAAAAGGAAGACAACTTGCCTCTCTGAATGGCAAGAGCCACCATCCTCACAGTTACCTCTGGGGAGCAGGAGTGAGGAGGCTGCAGCCGGGCACTCACCCTCCTGGGTGTCAGCACAATGGCCGAGGCTCCTGGCTCAGAGCCTTACCTCAGGATGCCAGCCACAAAAAACCGGCTGCCATTCCCATAGGGAGAGTCAGCTGCCTCTGTGTAAATAGATAAGAAAGTAACGGCTGCAGACTCAACCACCTGGGCAAACAGTCTTGGATTATAAGCAACCTTGTGAATAAGTACAGAAGTATGCACTAGACCACACTTTTTTTTTTCAAACCAGGCCACACTCACCTACTTAGACATCCTGGTAATCTTCCCCAGAGCCTTCCTGTACTCCTCCCCTCTCTCCCTTTCCCATCCCTCCCTTTTAACACCAATGTCTCCCTCCCCTAACACACTCACACGCATGCACATTTACCTTTAAATCTCAGCCTGATGGACCAGCATTTCTGCCAACCTGAGATTGAGAACAGCAGTCTGTAAATTGAAGCTGGTGAACAGTTCATACTTTCATATGCTCAGAAAACACTCCCACGATTCCCAGTCCGTCTATCCCAGCCTTTCTAGAAATGCCTAGCCTTTAAGCTTGGGTTTTGCTTCACATCTGAGATTCAGACCTGCCTTCTATTAGTCATTGGCCCATGTGTAAAAAAGAACTCAATGATAAAGAATATTGGTGATTTTGTGCAACTCTCTCTGCAAGTATGTGGTGTTTTTCCTTCACCACACAGTAAAAACCTGCTAGTAGACCTAGTATTAGAGAAGATCACAGGACTGGCCCTAACCCAGCTTTCTCCGGAGGGGATGGGCCTGAAAACGGTGGTGACCAGGGAGAGTTTAGCTAAAATGGTAATTGACTGGAACCTTAATCCAAAACTCTTAAATAATCTGACCCCAAGTTTTGTTAGAGGCTTGCAAATGTTTGGTTGGCTTTTTAAATGTTTTTGCATGAGGTGTCCTGAGTTGCTGTGGTGTTAAATCCAATGAAACGGGTTGTTGTGAATGTACTGTCCAGGCTAAACAAAACTGTGAATAACTGGAAATCTCATTCAAGGACCTGGCCTCCACTCTCATTCCAAACATGCAGGTCCCAGCAACCCCAAAGGAAAGAAAGGTGTAGAGAGAATGGTGAAACTTTTGAATTAGGGATTAGTTTTATTTTTTGTTTGTTTGCTTTGATGGGGGGTGGTTTAAGAGAGAGAGAGAAAATGAAAAAGGAAAGTGAACCTGGAAATTGTCATCCTTTGTTCTGGAGAAGCATCCTATCTTATTTTTATAACAGCCTTAGCAGCTCTGTGTGCCTAATGACCAGGACCTCCTGTGAAAGGAGAATCTCAAAGGCTCTGGTTTAAACTCCAAATAGGACTAGGCTGAAAACTAACCCAATTCTGCATATTCTGATCTTACATTGTGAACAGTTAATGAGAGTAAACACAGCAATTACATACACGTCAACAACCCTCTGTAGTGTGTCCCTTTTTGTTTGCCAGAGAGCCAAGAGGGCTACAGCAGCTGAGAAGGGGCTAGCAGAGTATCTTCATGGGTTAAAAATGAAAATTACAGGCAGATAATTATCTTTGGTATAAGGTTACACAAACATGTGCAGCTTGTGGATTAAAAAAAAGCATATGGCAGTGTGTACAAAATAACTAAGATCAAAATCAAGTTGTTTCTTTCTGTCAGAAGTCACTCTTCTGTTCATACAGCCAAGTCTTCTCTAAGCTCTGCTCTGGACAGTTGTCCACATTTTGATTTTGTAATATTGTGCACATAGACAAGAAAGGATAAATAGAGAATATCTTAAAGGGCACAGGGCACGAGCTATTTACTGCATCAGATAGAACATAAAATCATCCACATACAAATGCTTCTCCTAATGCCTATGTATTCAGCAGCCTCGGTGCTTGTCTTCCTGTCTCGTATTCCTGTTGACGTATTACATTGCAAGCCTCTTCGCAGCCAGTTATATAACTCTTTTCTTCCAAGACAAATGGTGGTCTTATGACACCCACCCCCCACTACCAAATTTTCAAGTGCAATCGTATATAGCTGAGGCAGGTAGAAGGAATGAAGGCAACAAAAATATGAGGCAACAAAAGGAGGTTGAAAGCTAGCTAAATTTTGAAGCACAGACTTTTAAGAGTACTCAGAAGCTATTTTTTACATTGCAGTCAGTTTGAAAGCCGTGAGAGAAAACCAGGCTCACCCGTCAAGCACCGTCTTAGAGATTTCCTTCTTGAATGCCACTATGACAATGATAATTATGAACTGAAAAAGATAAATCCTTTGCCTTCATATGAAGAATCTGAAACTTTCTGTTTGCAGGAAAGCCACATGCCCTTACATGACTAAATGTGTCTATATTTATTTACTTTAAAAAATTAAAAGTGCCTGAAAAAGAATCTGATGAGAAATGACGAAAGTTACAGAAACTCATGGGGGAAAAAATGTATTTGGAGACTCAGGATGGTCTTGATTTTGCTCTGAGAATTTTCCACAGTAGTTTTATATCTGTGTATTGGAGCTTGAGAGCTGATGATTCCGAACAGCCCCTGCCCGATAGGCTGCACAGGACTTCATGGATTCAGAAACCCAGCGGGAAAGATAATGCAAATTCACAGGACTTGAAATAAAAACCAGCTCCTTTCTTTTCTAGGTGGTGCGGTGATGCTGCTGGTTTATGAATACACCTATTCATGGCTTCAGGAGAAATGGTGATTGCCTACAGAGGATTTTCGCCCCTTCAGATACGGGATATTTGTTATACAGCACCATGAAAAGGAGAGACTATCGATCAGCTAAGCCGATACAATTATAAATTATAATTATATAGTTATATACAACTATAAAGGGTAAAACAGTTTGTTCAAGAACAAAACTTATATTGATACTTTAAAAATTATCTCTGGACAATTTGACACTGTAGTTTTGGTTGTATCCATAAGACTGTGAGAAGAAAAATAATAAGATGAAGCAATGAAGTATGAAACTGAATATAAAAAAATAGCATAGAAATCAGATATATTTCATAAAAGCAACATAAATTTTATGACCCACACTGCTTATACTGCTTCACAATGAAAATTCATTGTATTGATGATTACTTTTTCCCAAAAGGTCAAGAAATGCTTAAAAGTTAAAAAAAAAAGCCAAAATTTAAACCATTTTTATAAGAAATTAAATTCTTCCATAAATATGATTTAATTATATACAAGGAAAATATTTCTAAAGTGTACTAAAACAGCCTTTTAAAAATTTTGTGTTAAAATGTGAAGTTATTGGTTTCCTTCAGTCATAATACATATCTCAGCTATATTTTCCTGAATCTACTTTATATTTTGTGCTGTTGGTTAAAGCAGGTTATATTTTTAAATCATGATATTTGAAGTCTTTTATGACAAATATAAAACATGAAATTATATTAAACTACTTTCCTTCACATAGTTCCCTTTGAAGACAAGTTTTAATGCTGAAGTATTTTCATATTAAATCACAAATTGAAACCACTCTGTGGGCCCATTTGTGCTGTCTGTATTTGCATCCAAATACTTTTGTTCAGAACTCTTACCTATGCCATTCTTAAAAAGAGTGTTTGGAGCAAAACTACATTTCTAGGTTATTAGTTTTAAGTGACAGTTTCAAGTGTGACATCTGCCAACTGCAGTGTTAAAATATGTATTATGAAGGGGCAAATGTTTCAAATAGAAATACATTCTTAGCAATTCCAAAGATTCCTGTACTAACACGCACTCCAAAAAAAATCTCCTTACCATTGCTATAACCAAACTTAATTTTATACCTGCATTCTGAAATGATGCTACTTCAGTAGCTAAAGTTAACAAAAGTATCTGCATGTTCTGGATGGCAACTACTACTGTGAGGTATTTCTACCAAGAAGCTGTGCCACTAAAACATTTTGAAAATAAAAAATGAAAGATAGCATGGTAATTATTACTTTTTATTAATTTAGAGCATTTGAAGTATAAAAATAAAGGCTTTTTGACATACTGTATATACATACACAGCCTTCAGTTGTACATCCTTTCCAACGTGTTTTTTAATTTATATTTCAGCCCAATATTTAATAAGAGGATTATTAAAAGTAGGAAAAAATGAGAGAAATTAGAATGTGTCTGTTGTACAACTGCATTCTGTCCTTGCAGGTAATACTCTGGCATCCTGTGAGAGAGAGCATGGCCTGCATAGAGGCCATGAAATTGAACCTTTAACCTCTCCATGTGGATGGGATGGAAAAGGATCTCTGAAGAGTGCATTTGCTGGTTTAAAAACAACACTTTTACCCCCGTAAGAAACAGGAAATATGTCAACATCAACCAGTAATAATAATGTTTAAAAATCAAACAATCCTAACCCCATATCCCATCCCACTTTCCTTCTCTTATTTTTAAAAATAGCTTTAGATCACAATGTGCTTTGAGTAGCACATTGTATTTGGGCTTTCTCTTATCTTTTTCAGTTTACTCCATGTGAATTCATTGTTGCTGAGAAAAGACCTAGGGGAAAAAAAGGAAAGCAAAAAAAAAAAAAACAAAAAAACCCCAAACTTTGATACGATTAACATTAGATTTTTAAAAACACAAGAACCAGAAAAAATATATATAAATAGGATAACAAGAGATTTCTTAATTTAGATAAAGAAAATAACATTTCATTGTGTTTTCATACAAACAATTGGTATTTTTTAAAGACTCCTAATAGCCACCTAAAAACATCTGATAAGAAATAATTCTGTACCTTATGCCAGTTTCTCTGCATGGCAGGAGAGTCCCTGTACAGTATGGTTTTAAAGTCTCCACCCAAATATTGGACTGGTATTTTGTTCCATTCAGTTTATAGTCTATTTTTTCAGCAGACTGGGAACTCCAGATGTCAATAGGAGTTTTACAAGATCAAAGGAAGACTATGGCCCTGAGAGTTCATCTGCTCCTTCTGCTTATTCTTTTCCTGAAGTTATAATCCTCTGTTTGTAGCGCTGAATTTCGCTTGCTTTAGAAATAAATGCAGTTCAAAGCTCTCTATAAGATATCTGCTGCTAGAAAGAAGGAGTTCCTCAAACATAACTTGTGTGTCAGAAATCTCCTTACTGTTTACATCCTAGTGATTTGAAAACCTAGCTAATCTAGCCATCCGAGTTTTAAACGAGGCCGTGAAACTTATGTGACAGAACAGGATTGCCATGTGGGCTGTGCACAGCACAGGAAGGAAAAATCAAAGTCACCTAACGAACGTATCTTTGAACATCCATATCTAGTGATGTGCCCTGTTATTGCACAGAATTAATACCAAAAAACCCACAATATATTAATTTTCCAATAGATGAATTGTACCAATGTTTTAAAAACATATTTTCAAGCCTATGTTGCCAAGAAGGAAGAACTTTCCAAACAGAAGAGATTATAACTGTAGAATTTTGCCCAAGAATATCAATTGTTTTAAAATACAACACATAATCACGCACACGCGCGCACACACACACACACACACTCCTCAGCTCTATTATTAACATTAAAGTGAAAAACAAATTGGTTTAAAAAGATCCATCCATTAAACTGTCCTGTAACTCCAAAAATGAATAAAGGGAATTTTTAAAAATTAAATAGCATTTGTATTTCTAACACCACCACCAGTTTACCTACACGTGAAACATGCTTCTGTACAACAATGTAAACTTCACAGCAAGCCATTTTTACATTCATTAAAGCAGAATTTTCCATTTTTTAAAAAATTACAATGTAATTTTGGGCTGAGATTGCTGAACACACAGGTAAGCCAACAATAACAGTACAATTTAGTTTCACAGTGGTTTTCTTAACATAAAGTTCATTTTAAGTGTCTTTGCAAAGCATTTCACATTAAACTTAGATTTCTAAGTGACTTCCTTTAGAGTCTTCTTGTTCAGATATTTTCCACCCTCTTGTCCTTATATGCTTGGCATGTGTGTTGTTTGATTGGGATACAAAATGGGAGACTAGCTTGTTTTATCTGTGTTTTGAGTCCTCTGTCGTAGAAAGAAAAAGTCCTTCATGAGATGTTGAAGCCTTCACTGCACACACAAAATGTGGGGCAAGTCCAGGTCCCGGAGCCCAAGCAGCCCAACCACCAAACAGAGAAAGAGATGTTGCCAGAAAGTCACCTTTGCAAAAAGAAAGGAAAAAATTGGGGGGGGGGGGGTAATCACATGGAATGAAAATACAAATGCACCATCCAGAGTCCATATTTACAAACTAATAGAAAATATAAACATTACTGTATTTGGAACCAGGTCAAGACACCAGGAGGAGCTAAATTCAGATATTGCTTGAGTTATACATATATTTTTCAACAAAATAGATCTGTTAAAAATAAAGGATCACTCAAACAAGTCAATTATTGATTGGTTTCCTAATGATGAATTAAGGCTTATTTTGTTACCTTATTTGATTAGAGGGTGTAGCGTAACTTTTTTTCTATATGCATTTTCTTTTATTGATTTTGCAAAAATCTCAACAATTGCACGTTTCAAAAGTTCAGGTTGATTTAGAATAAATATACACATGTGGTTTTACCAAAGACTAGTTTTAAAAGTTCCTTAAGCCCTTTGAGGGGTGCAGATTTCTTCACTACGTTCAAACAGTGTGTGGGCAATACAAATGTCTCATTCAGTCCTTAACATTGCTTTTGTTTTTAAATCCTAAAGTCGTGTCAGGCTTTCTGTGAGAGAGAAGTTATGGCAAGAAATATTTAAGTGTCATCAGCACAAAGGATGTGAGTCCGTAAAGCCAGCTTTGGAGGCAGGAGGGTTGGAGGGCAGAGGGGTGGGATCCGAGACCAGGGAAGAGGGGGAGGGTGTGCTGAGAGGGGGGACTTGGGTGAAGCTGCAGCAGATGGAATTTCCCATCAGAGTGCAGAAGCCGTGACAGAGTGGCTACCTTCTCGGGCTGCCTGCATTCCCTTGAACGCCAGCGACGCGGGAATGTCACAGTTGTGGGGGGAAAGTGGGGTGCCACTGGCATGTTGCCACCCATGTCCAGCAACATAACCAGAAGGAGCAGCACTGTAGGTCATGTAAGGCGACACTTGGGCCGGGGTAGGATAAGGAGCCATGCTGGATGCTGACACAAAACTGCTTACAGCTGGGAGACCATTTGGTGCCTAAGAGAAGGAAGAAAAGAGAAGAGGTGAGGATAGCCATCTTATAGTGGTTGACATTTCACAAGTTCTTAGAAACAGAATGCACGTTATGAGTAGTAGCTAACAACATTCTGACTCCGGGGTTTTTTTAGATTTGACTTTATTTATATTCTAAATACATTCACAGTCTTGCTACTTAAACATACTCTGTCCCCACAGGTTTTGAGGAGACTACAACCAGAAGATTCACAGTATTTGCTTTTGCTGTTTGGAATTATAGGAAGGAACTGCAGGGTGAGGAAACAATTAATGGTGATTAAATACTCTTAGAATCCATTCAGCTATTGATCCATCTGCCTTTGTCAACCTTCCCTATACTTTGGCTTTGTGTAGCTCTTTGTTGAGGCATTTGTGAAGGGCCTGGTTGGTGCGGGTTTCACTTCCAGTAAAGAAGGGTACCGAGTGTAGGCTGTCACTTTAGAAACTCAAAATGAGCACGACCTTTGTTAAATAAAGCACAAGTCATATTTTAAAACATTATGTTGAAAATGCCTGTTGGACAAAGGACATGCAACATCAGGCAGTTTGTCTAGTAACAGTTTTTAATGAACACTGGGGGTATTTTTTCCCAGAGCTATTTTATCAAAAAGGAAACATTCTATCAGAATATGAAAGAATCGCATATGTATGGCTTTGGAATTGGAAAATCTTCTTGCAAAGTTTCAGGGCCCTATGATGTAAAATTTTAAAAGCCACAAGGATAAATCTCTTGAAATGAATTTAAATGTAAACATTTAGTTTGCAAACAAAAGCAGCAGCTCTGGCAGGCAAGTCTGCCTAGAAACCAGTGCTCTCTTGGCATTTAAAAACTTATTGTTGGTATTGTTACTAATAACAACACCAAAAACACCCTGATGTCTAATCCTGATTCTGGCATGAATAACTCAGCATCCTTCTTCAAGTAACTTAATTTTTCCCCCTCAATTTCTAGATCGTTTAGAAATAAAGAGTAAATCCTGTTTCCCAGTAGTGATGTGAATGAATAGACATCAACTTATTTCCTAATAAAAGCATAATGTAAATAACAGAAGTATTGCTAGTAAAACCAATTTAATCCTTACGGTAAGAAAAGCAGACATATGTTAAGTAGTTACTTTTTTCCAATTCAATTGCAACATAGAAATTATTTTCTAATGTAATTCATTTGGTTATTATTTTCACTTCTATATCTATGAGAATACATTGCTGGGGTCTCAAAAATGATTTTCTCAATTTAGAGTAATGCATGGAGTAGAATATATACATGGATGTGATTTAAATCCACTGCTTGTGGATTTCCGACAAAATAAAAATAAAAGTAGAGGGGGAATCTTTGTGTACCTGATGTGTAAGAACACATACCTCGTGTTCTTTTTGCCAGAGTGCTTGTTCTTTGAAAAACGGGGAAGAGGAAAGGAAACCAAGGTTTCCTGAATATGTCCTATGTCCCAGGCACCAAGAAATATCCAACATATTTTATTGAATAATTAAGATTAATGATTGTAACTAATTATAACCTGTTGGGTTTATAATAATTATAAGAATATATAGTGATTATAACACAATGTTCAATTGAAATTAAAATGTGTTACTACACAAGAACATAGATTAAGGAGTTTAGCCATTTACCTTAGGCCAATCGGCAAGCCAATGGCCATGTGTTAAAAGGAGTTATCACTCCTAACTGACACAGGATCTTCTGTCGTCTAATTTTCCTGGACAATTAAAAGATAGATGTAATTTAATCTCAAACTAGAGCATCTTTTCTGGTAAAGGATTCTTTCCTCTTCTAGAATCAGATTTTCATTCTTAGATCCTCATTCTGTTTCTTAATTTGTAAAAAAATCTTTTTCCCCCTTTCTGAGAATGGTTCATTAGAGAATGCCTCAAAGGAGACACACTTTACGGCTCTCAGCAGATGAGTAGGAAGATAGAGAGCTATCAAATTGCAGAAGAAATCTAGCATTGCATAGAGATTATATTTCGGATCACTTTTATCTAGGGTTTTCCCAAAGACTTATGAGAAATTAATTTGGAAAGGAATCATTTCAATTCAGTTATAGAAAGGTGTTCATCTCTGTATTAGATCTCTTCCATTCTAGCATTAATATTTTATGCTACCGATGCCAGTGTGCACCAAGAATCATAAAATAAGAATGTTAAGGTTAAAACATTAAGGTTAAAATTATTTTTAAAAAATAATGAAGACCTTTCCTCAACATTTTACAAGTACATAGGTTAGATTATTTAATATTACACATGACAGAAACAATGTTCTAGTTAGCAGAAATAATGTATTGCTGAGTTCTATTTTTCATCACAGATAAATTTTTCCTACGCATTCTTTTTTCTTTATATTTTTTTCTATTAGTCACAGTTACAGTTCTCTCTGAAATACTTGCTTTGTCATCTTCCCTTTCCTCCCCTTACACCTTTGCCCTTGGAACCATTACTCCTTGATGTGGCATCTTTATTTCGGGCTCTTCAGCTGTTCTGTCATAATGTCTACAATCCCTTACATGGATTCCCCTACTTTTTGCCCAGAAATGTTTCCCTTGAGAAGCTAGGCTGGACTGAACTCTCATTTCAGATAATGCTCCTAGGATCTGGGGGAGGCAAAACATTGGATTTAGGCCCGTGTTACCTTCAGGTGCCTTACTTATTCCATAACTATAGTTGCATGTCAAGTGTAAAAAACACTAATAATTCTTTCTATATTTGTCTGTTTTTTTCATACTTAAGATACCAAACTTGTTTTGTGTTATTAGTCCTATTAGTATTAAATATTTCAAAGCTTTCTAAAATCTGCAATATATTTAGAGTCATTTTAGTGATGCTGGCCCATCTGGGCTGCAGAAAGGAAGGTTGGGAAGGGAAGCTCAAAGAGCTTTGACCTCCTCATCTTGTAGAAAAAGGCAAGGGGAAGCTAAAGTGTTTGCTTAAAAAAAAAAGGACAGAAATCTTTAAATTTAAACAGTATAAAAATAGTTCTTAGCTTTCCCTCAGGTTAAATTATGACCTAGATTGGGTGAAAAAGTTTTGTCTTAATTTCCCTTTTTACTTTTAAAGTTAAGATTTAGAAATTTAGGAAAAATGGCATAAGCAAAATGAGAGAACAAACAGGTTTTAAATAAAATATACCTGCCACCTTCTACTCATTCATCCTAGTGATTCAATAAACACTTCAATTTTCTCACTATTAATTTTGCAACATAATATTAGTAGAAGAAATAAATCTCTACCAGGTAAAGTAATTGTTATTTATGAAGCAATCACTGAAAGAGTAAAATTTTCCACCACAAAGGAAAACAACTACAGGTAGCATTGATGTTTGTTTATTCTTTCCAGTAAAAGAGTACATGACTTAAACTTCCAAAATCTGTTTAATGTTTTCGGTGAAGGGCATGTAATTAATCTGAAAAGCTAGTTAGGCTGAGTAGAGACTACCAAACGTACACCATAAATATAGTGGGAGCAAACATGCTAAATTACTCTGTTTAATTGGATTGTAAATATGATTTATAAATCAACCAACATATGGAATCCCCAGGGAAGAGTAAACAAATTTTCCAAATGAAACCCCAGCAATGGGCATGTAATGGAAATCTCATTTTTGAAAATGACTTTACCTAAAGATTCCATAAATAAAACCTCAATCCATCAACCCCTTTTTCATGTGGATCTTCCGTGAAAGCCATAAGTATCCTTTCCTTAAAAGAACTGTACAGGGTCCCCCCTAAAGCAGACTATCCTCTACCTAATTTTGAGAACGAGATTTATTAATACAAAGTAAAACAGAACGATTTGCATACTCTGGAAAAAGTAAGTTACTTACTTTTTGAATGTTTTTAGAAAAAGACAGATACTATCCCACTGACATTAAATGGAAGAGTCCAAAAAAAATACATAAGATGCAATGTAGTCTAGTTAAGGTTATCACAAGAATGAGTAAAAGTATGAGTTTTCATTTGGTTGGGTCTAAAATGTTAGAACTATAGATTTGCAAGTTTTTTAAAATATGATTTTAAATAATATGTTGAGAAGCTGTATTGGCAGAGAGCTAGATTGTAAACAGTCTGAGGACAGGGACTTGCCTTTAATCATCTCATATCCCCACGAAATGGGGCACATCATAGGCATTTCAGAATCATTTGTATACTTAAGCTTGTGCAGACTTTTGAAAGCAAAAGATGTGATAGTCTTGCTTTAAAAACAAAAACAAAAACAAACAAAAAAAAAAAACCTGGGCACCCTTCATCACAGAACAAGCATTACACTTTAAGTAAGCAAAATGAATAAAGCTGTTGAAAAAAGTAAATAAAAGTTGTAACTTAGCTATTACATTATTTGATTTATGATCATTCCATTTATTTCCACCCAACCCCCTGCCACCCACTCCCACTCCCCAAGAAAATGGAAATGCCTTAGTATCCAAACACTTGAGACCAAGAAAAAATCTGGTATGACAACTGTCTGGCAGTTACAGGTTTTAGACTACTCTTCAAATTCTGGGAATTGTCTACTCAACATTTTCTCTCTTGCAGAAAGTGGAAATAGCAGTGCCAAGTCTTCCATCTACAATCTTTCATCTATTCATCAGTTCTACCAGGTCCTCCCCTTATGATAAAATGAGTTTACCTTGGCTTTATAATAAAGTAGATTCAGCCACAAATAAAGATATACTTCACTTATAATTTCAACCTTGATATTTTAAGTAAGAAAATGCTTCGGATCTGAAAATAAACAAGATTCTTTTTTTTGCTGAAATCATTTTTCTGACTGCTGTTCTACCTACCTTTCTTAATCCATTATGCAATGACCTAGGAAAACAAATCTGATAAAATGAAATGACGGTTGTAAATGTGGTTTCAACATTCAAAAGGATCTTAATTATGCTTAGTTATCAGATTGCAGATCTAAATGTCTCTAGGTAATGGAAAACTATTATTTTAAATGTTTTTCTAAATTTTATATTTCTAAAA